AATGGACAAAAGAGAAAACAAAAGGAAATCCAGTGGGTGGTCAGCCCAGACATGCTAGTCCCCAAAGCTAACACTAGTGAGTCCTCCCATTCTCACTTGCCAGGTATTGCCTCTCGGTTACCGTGCCGACCTATCATTAATCAGATCAGTATCTGTCTTCAGGATGGATACAACCTCCTGTGACAAGGAAGTAGCCACCGTTATCCAACTACAACACTGATACTGTGCCATATTTAATGCCCAAAATAGGATTCTAAACTGTACAAAGTATCGCTGTCAAGTTGGAGCTAAGAGCTGACCTTTGATCTGGTCCATTTAGAGCTTTCTGGCCAGTACCCTGAACATCCATCTGCAAGTTTTGAGTGCTGTAAAGACGAAAATGACGAGAAGAAAAAACAAACACACACAACAACCCCCGCCCCCCACAAGTCAGATAACGTGCCACCCAGCTAGCTAACAAGGATCAAGCAGATCTGATAACAACCTAACTAAGTGACTTCATAGGAGCATCTGTATGGCATTTAACACGTCAAAGCACACCGGTAACAGACGTCATCATCTTTCAACAATGAGCCCAAACTGCCTGGGACCTTTGGACATTTTTTCTGTGTACAAAGATGGTTTCATAAATAAAACAAACTGCTTGTGCAAACTGTTGTGCAAACTGTTGCTAAGAGATCTGCTCAGTGAGCACAGAATCAAATATTGCAAAGCGAATCATTTGTTCAGCTGGGTTACTGATTGTTACGGCCTTAGAAGGATACTGTTGGGTGGATTTAACATCCTATTTTATTACTGGAATGCAAGAAGGGAAACTTGGCATGAAACTTGAAGCTTCTAGCAAAACCCACAAGACTCACATTAAAAGAGATTGTAACCTGTACAGCAAAGTTTTTGCATTTATTATTTTGCTATAAATCATTGTTCAATCAAGACTGTTCAATCCCAAAAACAAGCCTCCATGAGTATCTGCCTGCAGATATCACACAAGGCGACTTATCAGAAGTGGTTTTTCCTGTTAATTTGCATCCTGTCAAATTCACTTCAACTGCGTTTAATTGTTTTCTGTACAGCTGTTCCAAATAGTGAACAGCAGGTGAGAACACCGTGTGGATTCCAGAAAAAATTGGCAATTAAATTTGTGGAAGTCCTCAACAATGTTTCCTGCAGAACCAGTACCTAACTTGTCATTTCATTTTTATTTATTTATTTATTTATTTATTTATTTATTTATTTTTTGCTTTTTCCATACTTTCCTTAACATCATTAACCATAAAATTAGATTAACACAAAAAGTAACATAAAAAAAATAAATAAATAGAAGTGGTGGTGTAGCAAATAACATTCTTACTTGCTATTTCCAACAAAAAAATGATAAGCAGAAAGACTTTACAGCAGAAAGCAGAAAGTGATCTCAACTGCACCAATTACTCCCACCATGCGTGAACCTGCAATGCACTAGGTTCACCAAGGAGTTTTGTACAGCTGTGTGGTTACCATGGAGATAAAAGTGTTTCTCAAACATGCATGAAAGAATCAAAGCAACACTCCAGGTATGTTTTTGATGAGAGAATAACTTTATAATATGATGTAAAACTCATAAAGGTAAATTTTACTTACGAATTTGATTTAAGCATTAAGTTTAGTTATAAAGTTGCTGCTTTGGTTGGTGAGAAGAATCAGTTTAAAGCTGAAATAGCATTATTGTTGGACAACAGATTTGATGCATGAAGCTGTTGGGGAACATAAGAGCTCCTTCAGCGACACACTGCTGCATCATAGCTGCACAAAAGAGCGTTACAGGAGATCCTTCCTACCAGCAGCTGTTAAGTGTTATTTGCAGTTTTTTCATTTTTAATAAACATTCCTGTTGTTATTGGCACATCCCTGTTGTTTGCATGGTTCTTTAACTGCATGTTATTCTGTAAATTATTATGTAGATTCTGTTGAACCTGAATTTCTCCCCTTTGGACAGTAAAGGGATATTTCTACTCTGTATTTCCCAGGAGGATCTTTGCTGTTGTTACTGTTGTTACTGCTGCCACCTCCTTGCAAGGCAGCATCAATCATAGCTTTTTGGAGGGGAGAGGGGTGTTGTAGTCATTAAAATAGTTTTAGTGACTTATTATACAATTGCATTGTAGTTTTCCTTGTTTTATATTAACTGTTTGTATTAATTGTATTTATTGAGTCTGACAAAATCTGTATAGTTAAGTTGTTATAACCTTGTTTTGTATAACCTTTGTTAGTTTTTAAATGTCTCGGACATAAAATAGCCATTTCATTTACATAAATTTTAGTTAATATGCATTTTCCCTGTCAAATAAATTACTACATTTAAATGTTAATTTTAAGTCAATTTCTGACCCAAATATCCATAATTGAACTCATCAGTCATCAATGTTTACTAACTCCAGCTGATCACCTTGATTATTGGGCCTCTTGAACCATATTTTTTCAGTTTTTTTAATATAACTTTGTGTTTTGTGCAATCCTGAAGTAGAAATCCAAACTTCATTATCCAGCTGTGGGAGTGTATATTTACAAGGGAGAAATATATGCCACTAGACAGTCTTCATAACTATTTAGAGCCCCCAGATGTCTCCTCTGCACCCTATTTTTACAATAAGGTGCCAAGTGCTAATTTCCATTCTCCCTGGTTAAGGCCTGTGGTAACCAGGCAGTCAGTAATAAGGTATACAAGTCATTCACATTCATCAGGTAATTCCCTGGCGGCGCAGGGAGTCAAAGGAGGAGAACGCCGACTGGCAGCTGTCAACCACACAGATGTGACAGCGACACGCAAAACACGATCTCTTCCTCTTTTTCCTTTCTTTCTTTCTTTCTTTTTTTCTTTTTTACAATCCATTTCCTAGCAGCAATTTTTCTCATCAGAGTTCTTACCTGGAAATAGAAAGACTTTTTCACCCAGGCTCGTGGAAAAAGACCCTTAGCCATCGCTGAAATAGACCATCTCAGTACGTCTGAAGGCGACCAGCAGAGCGCTTTCTACATCAAACAAGAAACGCATGAGGAAATAACAGCATAGTGTCTGATTCCAGACGGGACGGCCCGGTCCGGGTTCCTCTGCTCCGGATGAATCGCAGTGATATTCCTCCGTCCCCGTCGTTCTGCCCTTTGAAACAGCTGCTGCTGATTTTCAAAAAAAACCAGCATTTCTCAAGGTGAAAAAAAAAAAAAAAAAAAAAACACGTATGGCTCAGAGCGCAGGCGCAACCTGTTTCTTCCCAATCAAACATCTAGTAAGTTTTGAGGTAAAACATGGCAGTGGTGTGTTATTAAAAGGCACCGCTGGACCCGAACCTCTTCACCATACATTATTATTATCCAGCGGTAGTTCTACGAAACTATCAAAGTATTACAAGATCAAGTTCACAAGCACGAAAGAAACTATTTCCGCTAAATCTTTCACAATAAAGCCCTGGCTGTTGTGCCGTTTCTAAAGTTACACAGCAAAAAAAATTTAACAGATTTATTTAGCCTGTCATAAAGGGAAAAAAAGTTCATTTTCCAAAGTCATATTTTCACCATTTTATTCATACATTTATAAATGTCAGGGTTCCAAACTTTATACTTAATTCATCGGCGGAATATTTAACTTGCAAACTAAATATTTAGCTTTCAAATTAAATATTTAGTTAGGATCCTAAATATTTAGGTTGCTTTCTAAATAATTTTGCTAGCATGCTGAATATTTGTGACTGACGTAAACATTCAGTTGGAAACTAAATATTTAGCTTTCTAACTAAATACTAAATTTCAAAGATAAATATTTTGTTAGGAACTCTGCCATTTATAAATGTAGAATTAACATGGATAAAATATGGCTTTTAAAAAATAAACACCCATATTTTTCAACCTATGACAGGCTAAATCAGTCAGATTATTGTTGTTAATTTTTTACTGTGTAACTTTACAGACATAGTGGGGAAGAGGAATTTTCAGGATATGTAATTAAATGCATTTTTTTTTCTTTTCAAAAATGTTATATTACCAAATTAAAACAACATTTATTATTGAATAAATGAACTCAACAGGAGAGATATTTATGGTTTTAGTCTGTTATTAGCCTATTTAGCCCTCAGATTGATGCAAAGTGCTATTATTCCCATTCAGCTTTCCAGTGTTTCAGGAAGCCCTGGTCATTCATGGATCTTCTTTAGAAATCTGGACTGAATGCTGACATTAGAGTTCAGTATGTTTAGCGTTGAGATGCTATCTTAGGTTTGAATAGTTTGTGTAGCAGAAAACTAACAATGCACATTCAGACATATTACCCTCACAAATAAATGTCTGCGTTATGGAAGTCAAGTCAAAGTTCAGAGCTAAATATAATTGAAAATCTGAGCCAAAACGTGATAATTGCTGTCCACAGATGCTCTCCTGAGCATCTCGATCTGACTGAGTTTGAGCTACTTTGTGAAGAAGAAAGAGTAAAAGTGTTTGTTTCTAAATGTGCAAAACAGGTTGAGAGGACTGCCAGCTGTATTTGCATAAATAATGAAGGTGGGGGCTGCGGTGCGTGGTACACAGTTTTGAAAGCCATGAATCCATTAGGCAGCAAGAAGGACCTGGGTTCAGTTTCTACTGTCCAAATCCTTTGTTTTTCTATTATCTGCTTCCCAATAGAATGCTTAAACCCATCTACACGTTTTTGCTCCCTCCCTTTTTTTTCAATCTCTCCTTTATCTTTTACTTAATTACAGATTTTATGACTCATTCACTTAATGACACCAATAATTCAGTTTGATTGTCTGCCAATTCATTTCCCTTGATTCTTGTAAAGGTTTCTATATAAATGTCAGTTCTGTCTCCTACATTCTCTACAATCACTGCTGGTATTCCATTGAACAGCCTGGTCTGCTGTCTGAACGGCTGTGTTTCAAGGTGTAATTCTCTTGGCTTTTCCTTTGTTGGATAAAATCAGATCAGTATTAAAATCAGGAAGTGACAATGGGTGACTTAAAAACAAAATTACTTTTTGGACAAATATTTATCTGAGTAATACTAGCATCCTTTATTACCTCATATTACCCAGCAAATAAAATTATTTATTTCACCCAGCGTGATTTACAAATCTGTTCCTCTATTTCCATTTCATACCTGTCAACAAATAGTCTGTTAACCCATGACATATGAGTTTGATTTTAGTTTTAGTTAGGTATTTTTTTTAATTATGCGGATGAATAGTTATGAAAATGTTCAGTGGTATATCAAAAGTACCACATGTCAATTCACAGTTTTTCCAGTTTACATGCCATTTTGCAACAATGCATTGTTTTTGCTTCTCCTGCTGTCCTTTTGTCCCAACATGCTTGCCATATTTTATTAATCTACTTACCAAACTGTACACTTTTATTTTTCTGGGGTGCTCTTTTGGTTAGCTATAAAAATAAATATTTGTGGAAAAACAACACAAATAAATAAAAGAAGTCACGTTTGAAGAAGAATAACCAACATTTTTATGGTGTGTTGTGGTGCTAATGTGAAGGTTTAGACAGGCAGAAGCAAAAATTAGAGGCAGGTATGAATTGCCTAAGTAAGAGGAGGCATACAAACTGAGGAATGGTTAGTAGGAGATGTCCCCTAGCTGCAGCAGATGACCTTTTTGAACCAGAAAAAGTGGGCTGCAGAACAATGAAAACTGTAAAGGGAAGAAATAGTGAAAGGGAAAAAACACCAGCACCCATAAAGACTCAGTTCACAGAAGGATTCTAGTGAGAATCTGGCCATTTGGCCCTTTTGTCGTTTTAAATCTTTACAGTTTTGTAATTTCATACTTGACTTTTTAAATGCACGAAATACATTGTCTTTGCAGTGCACTAATTTCCAATGGGATCGCTTATAGCGGTTTAGACAACTGACAATTTTAAGCAAATATTTTGATATTCTATATTGTGCATTAAGGAAATGTGATTATGTGACTGCAATAAATGATATTTATCAGTAGGTCAAATAGAATAATTTTTTGACCAGGGATCACCTTTTAAGTGCAATATGGAGTAAAATGGCAGTCAATATCAATGTCAAGTTTATTTATAGAGCACTTTAAAACAGGTATAAAACTGCACCAAAGTGCTGTACAAGAACAACAACACAAATGATAGAACAGTGTATAAACAATACATCAATTAAATGCCAAAGAGTAAAAATGAGTTTTAAGAAACGATTTAAAATGATCCAGGCTGTGGGCAGATCTAATCTGGAAAGGTAAGTTATTCCATAAAACAGGAGCAGCAACAGTCAATTGAAATATTGTGATAAAAGGTTTCATATAGATATAAAACTGAATTAATTATCCATAATTCATGAAATATACTTAGCTGAAGCTAGAAATATCCTATATGCCCCAGTTTGAGTGGCTTTAGATGAACTGCCTCCTTCACACCCCCAAATATTATTATCCCTGCGTTGCAGTTTCCACCCTTCCTCTAGTTCCCACCTTTCAAAGAAACGATTTAATAAACTTGTCTCTGCCATGTCACCCTGATAAATTTATGCTGCAGTACACTTGTTCCGCCACAACGTGTACTTCTGTTGCTCTCAGGAAGCAACAGAAGCAACAGCAGGGACTCTGGAAGTGAGTTATTTAAGTATTGGTCAAAAATTTAACAAACAAATAAATAAATCAACTTAAATTTATAACCAGAATGTTGTTCTTGTTATGACCAGAGATATCTTCTAGGTGATTACAGAAATATATTTGATAAATGGGAGTATCATATTCCACTGTGAGCAATCAAACGGCTTAGGGATAAGACGATCCACTTTGGAGGAGAAACACCCTTTAAGGTTCCTGAAAAGCCCCAGAGGAAACCTGATTCAAGTAGAACTTCCGGTCATGATAACAAACCTAAAAGAAATGTCAATCCCATGTGTTGGGAATGCCATAAATAGCCGAAAAATACACAAACTCCCTAAAAACAGTTTAGATGAATATTCTGTTCTCCTGATTAAATATTCAATTTGAGAATATACGTTGGCACATAAAAAAAATCTAATAAATTGTTAGTATTTCTACATTAATTAAAAAAAAAAAAACAATAAAACTGGAGGTTGTAAAGATAAAGTCAATGTCACTGTTCCTTCAAGGGCGGATATGCAGTACTTCATAGGTGCCCTGCCTACAATTTCAAACGTTTGAAAATGGTGCAGGCAGCAGCCCACTAGCAGCAACGCTTCCCACAATGCACTCCCCGTTCATCAGCGGGAAACCAAAATGGCGAACGTGCTGGGGGAAAATGAGCCGTTTGTTATTTTCTAAGGAAGGCTCGAGCGCTGTGGATTTTCTGGGCACGCACTAGATATACATATTAGTCACGGCAGCAGCGGGAAAACAGCCTCGCGCCTTTTCAGCTTTTTCGTCTCGCGAGGCATTTGTAACAGCGGAGGTGACCGAATGAGGTATTGTTGTCATGTTTTCCTCTCGCTGCTTAAGGGGGGGTGTGTGTCCGACGGTGAATGACCTGGCCGGGGGAACTGCTTTGCATGTCGGCTGTTCGTACTATCAACATCATCTTGATTTTCATAGGAAAGACATTATGGCTTCCGTCATGCAGAATAAGTGCTAGATTTGCCTTTTACACTCTCTGGTGGTGGCGTTTTTTGTTCAGTCGTTATAGAGACAAAGGACTGAAGGGAAGTGGCTCAAGAAAGGAAAACTGTCCTTTTAAAAAATATAAATCATTTAAGCAGAAGATAAAAACACAGAAAACATATTTGTAGTCAAACAGATTAAAAAGTGGTTAAAGGAAAATGTAAAATTTTAATTTTGGTCTTAATTATCTTATTGATATAATCAGCGCCCAAGCGTATATTTAATTGCCAATTAGCGCTAATTATGATCCTAATCACCAGTTGCATGTGCTCACTGAAAGAAGACTGGCTTTCCTCTTTGCTTTGTAAGCTTTGGAACAAAACAATGCACCCTTTTATTTTCAAAATCCCACAACATATTCTCAGGACTTCATATTTGTACGTGTCCCCAAACCAACCTGCTTCCACATTTTGGACACCTTTGCAGTGCTGATAACTGCATAGCCTTTTTTCAGCCTTTTGCAAATAAATCTTGTGTGCATGCATTTACAGTAACTAGTAACATAACCCTTTTTGGCACTACTATATGGTTTAGAATGAATCCTTGTGAGTATAAGTGTGCGCATGTCTTCTATTGTATTGTGTTTCGCTTCCTGTTTTCAGAGACTTGGGGGTTGTGGATCATCCTTCTCTCCGTCACAGAGCTCACCCCGAGCAGCAGACTGTGTCCCTGCCACCCTGTGGCCTCTCTGCTAGGGGGGAGTATGGGGAGGACGACATGTCTGCCAGGTTTA